TCATCAATCACTGATCAGTGTGCCATGTTTCAACAGGGTTTGCAGTAATGTCTCTGCACTGTTCACAGTCTCACAGAGACTACAGATTTTATTCTGAGCTGATAATAAATCTGATGTAACTGTCGTCTCAGTCTTTACGCTGAGGATTTAACGATAATAAAAATGTTTGCTTTAAATATAGAAAATATACAAAACCCAGTCTCTAACTTCTGATCTTTTATAGACTATGTTGACTTGAAACAAGCAGAATAATGAATTTACTGTTTTTATTATGAGGTTTCCAGAAGTTTTCCACATTTGACCTTTTTCTATTTTAGCTCTACTGCACAGAGCGATAAGAGTTAAGAGTTATAAGACACATACAGTGTCTTATTCATTTACAATAATAAAGAGCATATTATTACCAGTATTATCCACTAAGTACAATAATGTAAACTTACGGTGTCGATGTCGAAGCACAGGTGCTCATTGAGCATGTCAAACTCTCCAGGTGTCATCGGGGGCTCCGGAGACTGACACGACCGCGGGGTGGTGCTCGCGTTGGAGCTGAAATACATTAAAAGAGACGTTAAAATACATTTAGCCTGTTTTAAAATTCTGTTTAAAGTTAACTGAGCTCAACTTGAGTGAAATATGAACTCACCGCATTTCTGAGATGGGGATCAGGGTTGATGGGATGTAAGGATGCACTGGAAGTTTAACAGAGGTTTATATTAATATTTAATTAGACCTGAGAATTAGCCTGAGAGTTTCCCAGCAAAAACTTGAACACTTCACCTCATAATTAGATCTTACCTTTGCTGGGCTGGCTGTTGTAAAGCCGCCCGAATGCCTCGTCTTTGGGGATGTCGGGGTAGAGGAACTTGAGTGGGTTTTCGGGGACAACCCCGTCTGAGATCACTTTGTAGTCTCGAATGATGTCGGCGAACGGAAGCGCGCTGAGCCGGTTTTTAGTGTAAGGCTCCACAGAGTTAAACTTCACCTCACCTAGTGTGAAAAGGTACTGTTAGCAAACTTTGTTGTCCACTGTCAGCAAAGCAAGTAAAACCGCACAGATTTTCTATCAACAAAGTTTATTTAACAGTCTTACCATAGTTAAAGGTTTCGTATACATTTGCATTTTATTACCACATGTAGTCTGATGATGTTGGTTTATGGGAAATCTCACCGTTATCGCCGTGCTCCACCCAGGTGAAGGTGATTCCGCCGAGGTGGCTCTCGCTGAAGCGTAACAGGAACGTGCCTGGCTCTTTGTCCTTCAACAAGGCTCGCTCCATCTCTTTACTCACAAATCCCATGATGTAGCTGCGGAGGCGGTGAAAGACAAAAGAAATGTAGGTTTTTTGGTCTCAGCCACATTTTAGATCTGCCATTCATACGAAGTTTATCCTAATGCATTTTGAAGCTGCACATTTCTAAGACAGGGTTGTAGTCTGCAGGTGATATCTGGCACCTGCAGACATCCATTGATGCTATTTTCTGGGATAAAGCCTTTATAAAGGCGTCTAAATTTGGCTGACATACACACTTGAACTCATAATAATTTCTGTTGATTTAAACTCTAAAAAGACAAGAAATCCCCCCCAAAAAACCTTAAAAATTAAAAAACCTCTAACAGCTAATAAATGTAAGCATTAATTACCTAATAGAAATGTATATTTATGCCACATTTTGTTTTCATTTAGTTCTGTATTTATTCATCTGTGTATTTACTTTACATGTATTTGTCCTTTGCATTTCCTTCTATGCAAATGAGGGCTTAAACTTGTCTCTGATTGGTTAACACCAGATGCTGTGCTCACAGCAAGAACGCATATTGATGTTAATAAATTTAATGAAAATTAATTTTATTGTAATGTAATGTTAAATATATTAATATTTTATAAATGTATCTAACTGTTCTGTCTTTCCCAACTGATGTTGGCAGTTTTGGTCCTTCATATATGTTAATGCTAGCGGTTCATGTATCTAATAGCCCTTTCATCTTTTTGTGGAGTTGTTTTTGTTGGTTTGTTTGTTTTTAGAAGTTGTCACATTTTCTGTTTATGATCTTTTAGCCGGGACACGATGACCTACTTCTCATTCCAGACCGGCAGCAGGTGCTTCTTGATGAGCTCCAGGATCGAGTCGAGCCACATCCAGAAGCTGAACGGCTTCCCTGGAATATTCTCCTGTATGATTGGAAGAAAAGAGAGTGAGAACCTTCTCGGACTTTAAATTGAAATTAGATACGATATGGGATAAAAATACATGACCAACATTAACGACACAGCAGAAGGTTTTATGACTGCCACTAGATGGCACAATAACGCAGAAAATAATGGTACTGTGCCGCTCATGCTCATATTATCTAAGACTCACCTTGGAAAACTTGGACCAGGACACTTGATAGTCGCTGCAGGAGGCATGCTGACCTACAGAGACAAAGAGAAACTATCATAAATGGCCGTCCCAGGAAAACAAGGTCAGCAGCTTTTTAGTTATTCTCTGAACTTGTTTTAGAAAATCCTTTGAACTCTGTGAGCAGCAGCACTACTGTACTAGTGTGACCTTCCCCGTGCGGGCATAAAGTGGTTTTACTACAGTTTCCGAGACAAACAGCGTGTTGTCATGAAGCTTTGAGGCTTTGAGGTACGAGTTCTCATCAACAACAAACCCACCGAATCAAAACGCAGCGCATGCGCAACGGCCTGTCATGGTGCCTTTTTCATAGGCTTCAATAGTAATCTGGGAAATTTCAATAAAAGGTAATATATCTTTCATCCTGGAGCTTATTTATCTCGTAGAGCAGAGTCTGTGGCATGATAATGCATATAAAAAATGAATGAATCCTGTGAGGTCTGAGTAATCAGCAGTGAACTGGATCCTTGACATGGGGACAATTTGGCTCCCAGCTCTTTCGGAACAGTCTCCTCTGCCAGCGATGAAATGCTCCCAGCACTCCTCCAACAGCTTGGGATACTTTCACAAAATTAACATCTGATCATCCATCAAGCTCCATCAGCGAGAGATGCCCGCTCTCCAAATTCACACAATGTCCCCAATTTTGATTATTTGTAGAGTTCAGAAGCGAATGCACTTCCTCGAGTGTGACTTCTATCCAGTGGCTGGGAGAAAGAATCATTGGTCACCTGCAGGTTAACCTGTCACCATCTCTTCCTGCATATGTTACATCCTGGTAAAGCAAAATTATTAACCAAACAGGTTAAGGAAAGGAAAAGGATGTTTAGCTACAATAAAGATGAAAGTACAGAACCAGTGTGAGAGAGAGAGATCTCAGGGTTTGTTTGTTTTTTGCCTTAATTCATTTATATTCATACAATTTGCTATTTTCACACAGTGGGATGCTGAGCAGACAGATCAGGAGCAGGCGATATACAGCGGGGTGTAAAACTGCTGCCCCCTTCCTGATGTCCTTGCGTTTTGCATATCGTGGCTCAAGAGTTGGCAGTTTGTCTTGTAACCGGAAGGTTGCTCGAACCGTCTCGGTCGTTGTGTCCTTGGGCAAGACACTTCACCTACCACCTACTGGTGTTGGCCAGAGGGGCCGATGGCGCGATATGGCAGCCTCGCTTCTGTCAGTCTGCCCCAGGGCAGCTGTGGCTACAACTGTAGCTGCCTCCACCAGTGTGTGAATGTGAGAGTGAATGAATAGGGACTAGAAAGAGAGAGCATATTTCTCCTGTTTTGGCTTCCCTTCATTGGCTTCCTGTTAAATCCAGAATTGAATTCAAAATCCTGCTCCTCACATACAAGGTCTTAAATAATCAGGCCCCATCTTATCTTAATGACCTTGTAGTACCATATCACCCTATTAGAGCACTTCGCTCCCGCTCTGCAGGCCTACTTGTTGTTCCTAGAGTATTTAAAAGTAGAATGGGAGGCAGAGCCTTCAGTTTTCAGGCCCCTCTTCTGTGGAACCAGCTTCCAGTTTGGATTCAGGAGACAGACACTATCTCTACTTTTAAGATTAGGCTTCAAACTTTCCTTTTTGCTAAAGCGTATAGTTAGGGCTGGACCAGGTGACCCTGAATCCTCCCTTAGTTATGCTGCAATAGACGTAGGCTGCCGGGGGATTCCCATGATGCATTGAGTTTTTCCTTTCCAGTCACTTTTCTCACTCACTATGTATTAACAGACCTCTCTGCATTGAATCATATCTGTTATTAACCTCTGTCTCTCTTCCACAGCATGTCTTTATCCTGTCTTCCTTCTCTCACCCCAACCGGTCGCAGCAGATGGCCGCCCCTCCCTGAGCCTGGTTCTGCCGGAGGTTTCTTCCTGTTAAAAGGGAGTTTTTCCATCCCACTGTCGCCAAAGTGCTTGCTCATAGGGGGTCATATGATTGTTGGGTTTTTCTCTGTATCTATGAAGCGCCTTGAGGCGACTTTTGTTGTGATTTGGCGCTATATAAATAAAATTGAATTGAATTGAACTGAAAATAGTGGAATTGTAAAGCGCTTTGGGGGTCCCGAAAAGCGCTATATAAATGTAATCCATCATTATTATTATTATATTTGTCACACTTAAATGTTTCAGATTATACAACTAATTTAATATTAGAGAACACAGCACGAGTAAAATATTTAAATGTAAATGATTATTTAATTGATTAAGAGAGAAGTTATCCAAACCCACCTGGCCCTGGTTGAAAAGGTGATCGCCCCTTTTGTTAAATTGTGATTAACCACATCATTGGGAAAGCAAACTTTACTCAGGCCTGATTACTGGCAGACCTGCTGAATCAAGAAATCACTTTAACAGAACCTGTTTGACAAACTGAAACTAAATACCTCAAAAAGCAACTTATCATGAGCAAAATGAAGACTGGAGTGTCCTGCTCAAAGTCCTGACCTGAATCCAATTAAAGAAGCTGCGGTTTATGCTGGAAAACCCTCCAATGTGGCTGAACTACAACAATTCTACAAAGATGAGACAACTTCCTCCACAGTTATTAGGTTTATCACTTTTTCACACAGGGTCATGTAGGTTTGGATCTTTATCCCTTAATAATAAACACCTTCATTTAGAAACTGCATTTAGTGTTTACTTGTGTTATCTTTGTGTATTACGTGAATCTGTTTGATGATCTGAAACATTAAAGTGTTACAAGCATACAGAAAACAGAGCAACAAAGAAGCTTCAGCTTCGTTTTTAGCTGTTTTGATTTGTTGGGATCTGATTGGGTTAAAAACAAAACAAACAAAAAACAAAACGCTGTTGTTCATCACCTTTAATGCTACTTTGGGTCTTTTAGAGTGATTTGTGTGACTGATCAGACCAAGCTCCCTGTTGTTTCACGTGAAGTCTGGCTCAGCTTGAAGCAAACGTGTTTGCTTTATGCATAAACTTGAGGTTGAGCGAGTAGCGGAAGTGGTCAGCAATATATAAGAACAGCCACGCTGGAAGGGTGATCCACTGGATTTAAATGAGGTAAGGCTTTTCATTTTTATAGACCTGTTCTCAGAACTTTGTGATCGCCCCTCAGAGTTTCTCTGCTATGCTGACTTGGACCAATCTGATACTTGGCTCGAATAACGTTTCTGGTTCTTCCCCTTTTAAACTGAGCGACTTTCTGGAGTCTCTGCACCACCTACATGCTTGAATATCTCTGCTGGCGTGTGGTTTCACAATGACAGAGGTGTCGCTTCACCCTCCATAAACAAGTAAACACTCTCCCACCTCTCTTTAGATGTTTCTGCCTTCAGCTTTAACTTTCTGTCCTAATTAGCTTGTTAGCTTGCAGTTGTCTTCTTAAGTATAATGTTTTACTGTTTGCTGTGTTGGAAAACGTTTTTCCAGGTTAACGACTTTAAAGCCACATTTTTTATTTGTTTTTTCTTAATCTTCAACCTTTGCGAAAGAACAAAACTGAAAGACAAACATACCAAAGAGCTTTTCTCCCAGCATGGTGAGCTGCTCTTTGTTGAGGCCTCGCCCGGCAAAAGTGGAGAACTGCCAGCTGAGGACCTCAGAGAGCTGGCTCCAGCTGGCCCGAGGAGGGTTCCCAAAGAAAGCCAGGTTCTGTGGAGGAAGATGGAGAAGGTGAGGGAGGCTGTGAAGCATAAAAAATGAAAACAAACATCTCCAAAACAGCTGGAGAACATGAGCAGCAGTTACAGAAGAACCAGAGTAAATGGAACATCAGCAGAATTTGTTGTCACGCTCTGGAAGTCAAAGACTTGGAATTTAAGTCAGTTTTCTTCTTGTTTAGCAGTTTTTTTTATGAACTGATGTTAAACTCAGGAAATGGGGGTGAATTGCAAGATTTATTTGTAATTTATGTCATTTTGATGCTGTTAATCGCGCATCTGTTTTGGGAAAACCAATTTTAGAGACTTGAAAAATGCAGAAATGCCCTGTGAAGATCCGTACAACAGAGGTCGACTGAAAAAATAAAATCTGTGTTTCTTTATTTATTATTATATTTTATTTTAAAGATAATAGAAATGAATTTATAAAAACAAAGGCTTTTAACAAAGATGTCCAGGTGTGTTCAAATAAGTTGAGCTGAAAGTGAGCTTATGTTTGATTAAGCTCAACTGTAATTAAACTTTCAAATGAATGAATTTTCTGTTTTTAGAACAAGTCCAGTATGGCTCACCCTCGGCTCATCAGTCAGGAGGTTGTACCACATGACGGAGGCCCAGCCTCCAGGCAGCTGGCTCACATTGGAAATCACAACGAGCGGCAGGGAACACGTCTGGAAAATAAAAATAAATTGTAAATGAACAGCAACAAAAACAAGTTTGAAATAGATCTGCTCTGCCGCTGACCTCCAGGTCGATGGTGAGGCCCTGCACCGTGAAGCAGGCCTCAAAACTGAGAGAGTGAAGTTCTTCTGTCACAGAGAGCAGGCCCTGAAAAATAAAACACTGAAACATCAACTGGAGTTCAAAGGCAGATTAACTGAATATGATGCACAAATCCATCTGAAGCAGCGTTAATGGTCACTGCGGAGGACAGAAACTGCCAAATCAAGAGCAAATGATGCAATACATCAATTAATATGTCATTAAATACATTAAATATTAATTAAACCAATACATTAAATAATTTACAAACTATGGCACTGATAGTTTTGCTTCAATATTTACTTACCTTTGTATTAATTCCCTAATTTATCTACTTTCCCATTCAATGTTTACATTTATTTAAATGTATTAGTTACATGATGTATTTCTGAATCAACCATGAAGCAGGTGAAAAACTGTCCCAGTGAGACACTCTTAGCTGTATTCCTTTAAAATAAAAGTTGAATTAAAAAAGTTTGCAGAAATAAAAAGGGTGAAGAGACCAAGGGGAAATAATACATGTATGCTTAAAAAAAATAATAATACATGTAGATACAGGCAAATGAGGAATGAGGAATAATGTAGCGTATAATGCATTCTCCTAACAGGAAAAGGATCACTGGGAAAAGACACAAATTCTTTTGGGGTTGTGTCATGAAGGGCATCCAAAAGCAGCTGAATATCAATTAAGGTCATATTTTATAAATGAATAAGACCTATATGGATTTAAAATAATGATTTATTTACTTTAGAAATACAAATACACACAATACACTGCAAATAATAAAAATATAATAAATAAAATAGAAAATTTTATGGGAAGAAAATACTACAAATAGTACAAAAAAAATGCAAAATTATACAAAAAAAAATATCAATTTACATTATTTTTTAAATAAAAAAAATCCCTACACTTTTTGTGGACTTTATTAAATATGAACTTATTTACAGAGTCTCTTTTATTTGGCAGTTTTTGTCCTCCGTAGGTCATCATCTACATTTCTTACCTCGTTCCCTTTGGTGCCGTTGATGTATTTCTTCTCTTTCAGCTGCTGTAAAACACAAACTCTGAGTGAGATGACTAAACACCATTTTAAATAAATGGTTAAAGGTTCAATGAAAGAACCAGTTAAACAACTGTCAACATTTGTTAGAGTTTTGTCCTACCAGATGTCTGAACTCCACTGAGAGGCAGCCGTTTGAGTAGTCCTCAATGTCCATAACTTTAGTGTTGTTGGTCAGGATGAAAAACTGACGACTTCTAAGGAGAAAAGGAGAAAAAACTTGATTTTCTTATCAATGTTTACCAGCATCCATTTATAAGATGGACTTAATTCAGAGGATGAAGTGTTTGTGGATTGTTTTAGACAATAACATAAACCATATTTAAAATCTGTATGTAGTTTTCAAAATAAAACACTCCACTTATTTTACTGCAAGGGTTTTTAAATCAGGGCGATTTTAAGAAGGTTCAGCTGCAGATGGTCCTTCCTGCCATGTATAACATCGTATATAATCTGTCAATACATGTATAAATCTAAAACAGAGATTTATAAAAGAAAACCAAGCTGATTACATTTCGCTGTAAAATTTTTGTTATAATTTGCGGATGAAATCTTTAAAGCCCACATATCTTTATGGATTTTTGAATAACTGACAAGTCAATAAGTTATAACAAAGTCAAGTACATGTTTCCTGTCTTCCTATTTCCTATTGCTTTTCCTGTCTGTTCCAGTCCGCGGTATCAGGCTAACACCACCAGAAGGTGGCAGTAAACACCAGCTGTTTAAACAGCAAAAATTGAAGAAGTGCTACTTCTATAAAAGTGAAGTCCAGGCAATTGGTTCTTAATGAATATTGAGTATTTTTGCTTTGTATCCTACTGAGAACCGAGGAAAAAAGCAAGAGAACATGTAAATCTATTACAGCATGCCTGTATTCATTCACATCTGAGAAAACATTCTCAATCTGATGTCATCACTTTTCTTTTCTTTTTTAATCCATTTGCTTTCAGTGAACTCCTATAGCTTTTAAGGTGACTTTAACCCAATAATATGTTTTTTCTGCATCTGGTTTTACAGGAAGTTAGAGGCAAAGTTCCCCCGAGGTGCATGTTTGGTTTCCAAGTGCTTTTTCAAACCATATTTACACCTGGTAACGACAAACAAATAACACACCAGTGAAGCCATAAAACAGGAAGCTTTAGGGCTGATTTCGCCTTTTAATCTTTAAGTTTCTACCCCCTTACAGACATTTCATTTTTTTTCCAGTCTTGAATTTGTATGATGTTAAATCAGAGTGGATATCCCTGTATGAATACCTCAGGCACAGATGCTCCGCCCACCTGCTATTCAAACCTTTTGCTTATAAGGGGGAGCCTATCAGAAGTTGTCTTAAAGAGGAAGAAGCTAAAACAGGTTATTTCATGTAGAGAATTAAATGAGGGGGTTCTAAGGTCCAGTATTAGATAAAGTAGTATTATTTCACTAAACCATGCCTAACTACTGTATTAGAGTCCAGGAATAATAAATTTTGAAGACAGAAGCGAGCAGATTAGGTTGCTTTTAATCTGGTGCTGTTTCCTGTTCTCGGACATTTAGTAGCAGCACGCTTAGACAGTTTGTACTCACACTCTGCCCGGGGGGAGGTCCCTGCAGAAACACACAAGCACAGCACACAACATTTTTACCTTATTTTTATTCAAGCAATGAAGACAGGTTTACTGTGGGGTCCATTTAATAAGAAAATGAATCATCTTACTTGTCAAATGTTGTTTTCACTTTCAGCTGATAATCCACTTCTGGAAGTTTAACCAGGAGTCTGCAAGAAATCAGAATAAACTGAAACAAACTGTAACCCAACAGCAGAAACAAATCCTGATACAACAAGATGTCACATCACCATACCTGACTTTGGTGGTGAACTGTACTCCAGTCTTAATGATGAGGGGTTTCTGTGGATGTGTGGGCATACATGGCTGCTTCTCCACCACAAATGAGCTGTGAAAAAAAACCACACCTCGATTTACAATTTCACTTTAACACCCCGAGCTTGAGAGAGAACATTCAAACCACAGCTGGCCGTGTTCCTCCTCCGGTAGTTACCACCTTTCGGTTTATTGTCTAATGTGTTGTCAGAAGCTGAAGTAGAGGAGGAAGTCATGTTTTTCATTTTTCAGAGCACTGAAAGTTGTTCTGCACAATAATGAATTGGGCTGGGATCCATTGCACTGCTTATTACACATCTGCATCTCCTCCTCTCCCGTGTGGCATCCCTCAAGGCTCAATCCTGGGACCGCCTCTGGTTTCATTATATAGGTTATCTTTCGGCTAATATCTTAACAGCTTCAGTGGTATCTAGTACCATTTCTTTCTTTCTTATCTCAGTGAATGTGTCACTAATTAATTAATTGTCCTCCATCTTACTCCTGGCAAAACTGGGGTTTTTGTGTTAGGCTCTGACAGTTTCTCTAATGAGACCCAACATTAAATCACTACTCTTATTATTATAGATGAAGCTACGCAGCTGTCAACAGGTCATTAAAATCATTTCAAGCTGCAGCAGCAAAGAGATATACACAAAAAAGAATCAATAACTGTGATTCAGCATACTCTAAGTAGATTCTGCTACTCAAACTATTGCACTTTTACTTCAATTTTAGTTTTGTTTAATAAATTAAAAGCATCTAAATACTTCTTTTCATAACAGGGTTTAATTTTTTGTGCAGCTAATTTCAGAGGTGGGAAATAACGAAGTAAAAATACTTTGTTATTGTACTTAAGTGGAATTTTTAGTTATTTGTACCTTACTTGAGTATTTGTTCTTCCAGCCTTTTATTTTTACTCCCTACATTTTAAAACAAATATCTTGACTTTCTATTCTATTTCTGTTACATTTTGAAAATGGGCTTATTATATTTGGTTTGATGCATTTGAGGGGAGTTATTATTTCACATCACCGAGGGGCTTCAAACATCAAACCGATCTGAGCCTAACCAGTAACACATGAGAGGCAATCCTGTTCACGTATTAATTATCCGGGGAATTTGCATAAAAATAGGTGAAAAAGGCAAAACCATGTGCCATAGTCAGGGTTAAAGTGGGCCGGTGTTTTGTTTGTTTTTTTTTTGTTTGTTTTTTTGGCACAACGGAACGACTGCAGGTGTGCATAAGGTTCTTCAACATCTAGCTAGCCATACAGAAGACGAACGGCAGGTAATTTCAGTCACCCTGCAGAAAACAGAGCTTTTTTCCCTCTGGTCATGTTCTATTTACCTGCTTCAAGAGTATCTTTTATTAGAATTAAAATTTAGACTGAAATAAAGTTTGTATTCCTGCTGATATTATTTTATTATTATATTAATATAGTACAAGGTTCACTTTACTTTGCATAAAAATAGGTGTTGAGATGTTTTTTAAGGTTCTATAATTTTGCTTTTTAACGCTGAGTACATTTCTTAGCCAGTACTTTTTAACGTTTACTTGAGTAAAGAAGTTGAATCAGTACTTCAACTTTTACAGGAGTATTTTTTAACTGTACTTCTACTTAAGTACAGAATGTCTATACTTTTGCAAGCTCTGGTTAATTTTCATGTAATCTGTATGAGGGCACAGGACATCCTGCCCCCTTGTATTCATTTCAAATTAAATATTCTAGTTCTGTGTCACCACATTTAAAAAAAATTTAAATCATAGAAATACCCCCACATGCAACACAGATTTCTTTCACAAATGCTAAAGGAATAAAAGGTCTTCTGCTGAGCTGTGTTGGTACCTCTTGATGAGATGGTAGATGAGATATTTCACTCTCTCTTCCATCTGAGGCTTTTGCAGGGGTATTGGGTCGCTCTCATAGGTCACCTTCACCACCAGCTCCCCCAGTTTGTCCAGCTGACGCTTGATCTGGAAAAGGCTCTGGGCAGTCAGGGTGAACCTGAGAGAAGCGAAGAATAGGATGAGGGCAGAGAATTTATCTGATCTTTATTTAACAGCATAGTGCCACCTTAAAATCCGTTACCTCTGCCAGTTAGTTACAATATACTCAATTATTTTGCTCGATAGTAAACTACTTAACTGACAACTGATAATTATAGAAGATCATTTCTGCCACTGAAAAAGAGAAATGGCCATCCATAACTTCAAGTTATGGATGGCCATTAAAAGAAATAAAAAAACCAAACAAAAACAAAGCGTTTTTCAGTCACAGAAACAAGCTTCCATAGTAATTATACTAATGAGTTAGCTATATAGTCAACCAAGTAATATTCGTGTCAAGTTGGGTGACATATAGCATAGATTTTACAGTATATATCACAGGGTGTCATATGTACTGGGAAATTAATATTCAATCTATAAATAAATATTTATTAGAAATAATGTATACATTTATTTTTTTGTATAATGAATTTATTTCAGTTGGTGTTGGTCCTCCATATATCTATATAAAAGCAGATATACAAATGGTACTTAACTATTACAAATGCAACAGATATAATGACATAATTTATTAATATTATTTTGGCATTTTTGGGCCTCCATACGAGGTACTTCATTAGCATTAACAGTAAGGATTTCTGACTTTTTGTTTGGAGGTCATTACCAGCTCTGCAGCTGCTCCAGCCCGGTGAGCAGAGGACCCCCGATGGCAGCAATCTGCTGCCTTCGTTTCCAGTCCTGCAGCTCGGGGTTGAGCTGAGAGGTCATCAGGTCGTCAATCTCTTTGATCACAACGTCCATCTTTGATAAAATCTCCTAACAAAGGCATGAAATACAGTGTTTATGGCTGATCAACACACTGTGAATGAATTTTTTTATTTGTACACCTGCATATATGTTTGTCACGTTTCAGAGCTTTGCATGTGCGTACCTTCCTTTTAAAGTCAAGCCGGTTTAGCATTTCCTGTAGCCTTGTTACTTCCTGTTTCATCACGTCAGAGTTTCTATCAGTTGATTCTGACACAACCACAAAAACAGTAGTATGAAATAAGTCTTCTAAAATAGTAAATGACGTTTTATTTTTACACCTTGTAAAATGGCTCACCTCGAGACTGCAGGGTCTTGTAGCGGAAATCAAAGTCATCCTGCATGTCCTCGATGTATTTCACAGCCTGGTCCATCAACTGGAAACAGACATTTTTTGTGTAAAATTCATCAATAAAATTCAGCTTTGTGTTTTCTCCATCTTGTATTGAAGGTGTTTGAGTTACCTGCACGCTGCCCCTGATGATCCCAACTCTGTTGTCCATGTTCTTCTGCCTCTCAAATGCCACAGAGTTCTGCAAAGACTTCTCCAGAGGACCCTGTAAAAAAACAAAAAAAACAAACCAAAACCAAACATTTACTTATTTACAACTTTGTATTTCTGAACAGACTGTAATCTGTAATCTTTATTTACTTCTGATTTAACTATATCAACATTAATGACATGACTCTCATATGTCTGTTGGTGCTGCTCCCACAGCATCATAACTAAGAGCTGTTGATATTAATCACACTGTTGAAATGTTCAATTCAATTCAATTTTATTTATATAGCGCCAAATCACAACAAAAGATTCAGGGTCATGTGGGGTTCATGTTTAATACAGTGTGTAATGAATGTTTTTTAAAGTTGCTTTTTTGCCATCTTTAGACAAGAAAACATTATTAACTTTGGGGAAATTCAGGGTGCCAGTGCATGAATAAAAAACATGTTACTCACTGGTTTTGGTCTCTGCAAACTGAAGACTTAATTAAAGACTGGATCTTCATCATGTTTATCCCTTTGAGGCATTTTTTAACCAATTATCTGAGAAATACCACAGTTTATTTTGAGGTAGAGGCTGTCCACAGCTTTGGGGTGAGTGAATATTCACCATAGTATTATAGTATTAGCACGTAGCCATGTCTGTGTACAGTTCATGGATGCAGCATGGTAATCAAGCTTTCTCAAGTTAGCTGAAAATTTAGTTAATATGTGGACTCCAAAGATGATGGATGAGCACAGTGGCTACATGCATCTTTTGTATACAGTCGATTTATTGGACATATCGTGTACTGGGACGTGTTGAACATTTTTCTGGCACATTAAATTTTAACATTGCGTGGGTAATATTTTGGGAACAAACAGCCTCTGTGCACAGAGACTCTCTAAAAGTTTAAACTCTGGCTATGAGTATCTGCATATAGAAGACCTCTTTCTTCCTCTGAAACCTGAAACCAGACTGAGTTTAAACCTGCAATAACAGAGGTGTGTTATCTGATGTGAGCAGAAGCTGCAAAGCATCACTGAAACGTTTTAAGGCGATATAGTAAACTTCTTTATGACTGCTTCAGTTTTTGGTCTTTACAACGTTTTTTTGCACGGATATTAGAAAGAAAAGGTGTTAATGATGTCTGTGTGCTGTGTAGTGCTGGGGAGGTAGTCCAAGGTGAGTTTATTACTCTTTATTGGTTCCAATAACAATAAAGTTATGGTGCATTAAACCCAAACAGTGAGCTAAGTGAAGCAGCAGTCTCTATGGAACAACCCAGCTTAAGAAAACAAACAGTTATCCTGTTCACGGGAATAGAAACACTTTAGTGATTACCGTAAAAAGCCAAACACTGATTGTTGGGAATAAAGTGAACTGGCTGGTTGGGAGGGTGGGGGTGTGAAATATGTTTTACAGTGTAGTCTTCCTGGTAGTGGCCCAGATTTACCAGCAGAGACTGTAATAAAGGGACTTTCCCTTCACTGAGGCAGACAATGTGACAAACCTGTTCTTGCATGCAGGCACTGGAGAGAATACGGCGCTCTTCCCTGAGACAGGTGGAGATGACTCTGGCCATTACAGCAGGATTGGTGGCGTATTTCAGCTACAGTGACGCAAACAGAGAAAATTTCAGTTATAAAACCCCCTGAGAAAAAAACCTTCGAACCAATGATTTCCTAATGATGTGATCATTTGTGTAAGTAGGCTATAAAACCAACCACAGCATGATCAATACTCCCACAGTGTCGGTTTATCTGTGAAGAAGAGATAAAAAGGAAATCCCTGACAGAGCGGAAGCCCTTTAGTTCAATAACAAAGGAATGAAGTTTAACTGGACACAAAACGAGTATTCTCCGTGAACAGCAGCTGAGTAAATAAAGTCAGATATTTGGAGCTCATCCAGGTTCGACTCTTTAAGGGCAAATAATTTAACCACAACATTTAGTTAGATATTAGAGAACTGATGTGAGCCTCATTTATAAACATGTAAAAGTTGCATAATCAAAATTGTAATGATGCAACTTGCACCATAAGGTTAAAAAATAAAATAAAAGAAGCAACATTAAGACAAACCTTGTTAACCTTTAGCAAATAACCCTAACTGAGGATTATTGTCCACTAGAAACCTTAGATTTCTTAAGTAGGGATAGACTTCAGGACTCAAATTATTATTTTTGTTTCAAATTGCATTCCATATCTATGAGTGCCACATTTTTTATTTCTCCATTCCATCTACGTTCATTCACTCAGCATTTTCTCCTTTTCTTCAAAGATGTATTTATTTCATTATTTTCTTAATACATTTCTTTTTTGCTTTTTTATGAGGCAAATCACAGAGTTATGCAATGACATTAATCATTAAAATAAGAAATTTAAAGTATGTAGAATCAATAGAAAACATATATTGTATAAATAAATACCCACATTTATTGGTTTTAAAGTCATTAATGGCCTTTTGATGTTTTTTGGTTTGTTTTTTTACATTCTGCGCTTTACGTCTTCCATAAAAGACCTACACCAGTGAAAAAATTATGAAGCTAAAAACATAAATAAATAATATATAAATAATTAAGAAACAAATTAAAAGAGGAGCCAAGTCATTACATTACACTACCAAATCTTTTATTCCTGTTTTTCTTGTATTATTCTTTAATGTTTTTGTATTTGCTAAATATTGATAAGTGGGATTGTATATTTTGTTTCTCTGCCTTTAATGACATCATCTTTTTTTTTTGTGAATTCGGTATTCTAATGGTGCCTTTAATGGTATATTCATTCATTTTTTTAAAAATCAACTTATTTTTGATTTTGGCAGTTTGGCGCCTCCATACATTCCTGCCAGATGCCTGTATCTTTAAATCTCTTTATTTTTAGACTATATATGGCTAATATATGCGGCAGAAGCCACAAACTTTCCGAAGCTGCATAACGGCCTCTACATACATTCAAATGCTCACCAAGAAAAGTACAAAAAACTTCTTCTGGAGGAAGAGGGAAAGTTTTTGTCTCGCCTTCAGGTGTGACTAATATTTCATCACTGTAAGACGACAGACTGAGGACGCACAAACGCACACACACCTACACGCTCAGTCTTATGACAGCAGCAGTGATGCACTGGTATCCTTTCAGAGTTTGTACCGTTCACCAAGCTGACCTACATTATTCAGCAAAAATTCACTATAAATACTTCTCCTGCTGTTATGGGTACTTTACAGTCAAACCCAACACTCCTGACATTTTCCCTCAGCAAGCAGCGAAGGTCACATTAAAAATGTGCGCCTACCACTGCGAGGGATTTCCCCTCAAAGAAAGACCCTGCGTGAACATGAATGGAAGAGAGATTCAAACATGAGCTAAAATCTCTCCTCTGTTACATGAACACATAACAACAACAACAACAACAAGCCACAAACACCCTCGACTATCGCACAGGAGTAGCTACTTCCTCTAAGAAGTGTTGACACATAACACATATACATATTCACAGGAAGCAGCGGTACAAGCCTCGAGGGTTCACTCTGCAAGAGGTATCTGTCTTTCTTCCAGAATAAAAGCGAGTGACGACCACAACCGAACTTCCTGAGAAGCTCCTCTGGCAGAATAGACATCCTCAAAGGGTTCATCGACAGAGAGAATAACTTAAAGTGTTTATAGACAACAATGAAAGAAAGGAATTCAATGTGCAAAAGCTCTTTACTGACTTCAATTGATTAAAACAGTAGCAGCAAAAACCGGAGCTGCAGCTTTCAGGCAGCACACAAACAGAAAGCTGCACATTTACAGCAAATCCCAACTCGTGAGCACGGCAATTATTTTACTTCCCTTTCACCTCAGGCACATGTACACACCACGAGGCTACTTCTCCAAATTGAGGACGCTTTAATGGAGTTCACGGCTGAACGCTTTCTCTCAGTGTGTGGATAAAAGTGCACAACAATAACAAGAAGCCACGGGCAGAGCAGCACCATAACCTACAAGTACTGAGCAAAGAATCCAACATGACCTCTTTTCTGAGCTGTACAAACAAAGAAAACTCATGTAGAAACACCACAAATATCAACTTAAATGAGAATTAAAGCTGCTTAATCTGGACTGCCATAAATAAACTGCAGCTAATTACAAACTTTGCAAAATTCCCACAACTCCTGAATACGTTTAAGTCTGCAAACTTCAGCTAGAAACTTCTTCTACAGATTTGCAGCTTGGCTCGAGTTGAATCCATGCTCACAGTTGTGGCTTCAACAACAAAAAAACAAAAAAAAGCGCCTTTTCTTCAGATGTAATCACACTGCATGAGAAATGATTAACATGCATATACTTCCTCAAAAACATCCTGGCGCTCCACAGCCTGCGCTGAATCGTGTGATTTATGTAAAACTACCAGGGCGCGATATATGGGGCGATCGTGGCTCAAGAGTTGGGAGTTCGCCTTGTAATCGCAAGGCTGCCGGTTCGAGCCCCGGCTCAGACAGTCTCGGTCGTTGTGTCCTTGGGCAAGACACTTCACCTACCGCCTACTGGTGTTGGCCAGAGGGGCCGATGGCGCGATATGACAGCCTCGCTTCTGTCAGTCTGCCCCAGGGCAGCTGTGGCTACAATGTAGCTGCCTCCACCAGTGTGTGAATGTGAGAGTGAATGGGTGGATGACTGGGTGTGTAAAGCGCTTTGTGGTCCCTAGGGGGGACTAGTAACTAGTAGCGCTTTACAAATATAGGCCATTTACCATTGATCATCAGATTTGCTTTAATCAGCACGACACAAACATGAGTCTGATTTTAGATGCTGTGGGGCTCTCTGCTAGCAGCTAGTATTCTTTAGGTCTGATCAGTTGTGCAGAGAGTATAGCTCTGTACACTTCACAGTCCATTCTGCTGCTTATATCAGAAGTGACATCATCAGTAAACATAAGTGACACGTTCCTGCAGCCATAAATGCCCGTGCCCACACTACCTCCACCATGTTTAACAGATGTTATACGCTTCAGATCAGGTTTCTCTCCTTCTCCAAACTTTTATCTTCCCTTCACTCTTGTAAGACTTTATCTTGGTTTTAAAGATTTTTCTTTCAGGACTCCAGAATCCGGCCTGCCTTACCACAGACCTCACCTGGCCATTAAGTCATCAGTCAACCGTCCAATTACCTTTGAGACTCTAAAAATATAACGTGTGTATAAAAATAGCTGTACCTCCTACACAGTTAATACAGAAATTGTTAAACCCCTTGAATTAAAGCTAAAAGTCTGCACTTCAGACAGCTCTTAACTGTTTAATTTAAAATAGTTATTTTTCAGTAGTTTTGAACTAATATTCATTTATTTAAAAATATATATTTTTGGTAGTTTTAATCCACTATGGATAACAGTAATATTACTATTAAATAACAAACTCAAATTATGAAAATGTATTAATTATTTTTGGCAGCCACCATAAATAATATTAACTAGATAAAATCACTATTAATTGAATATCAGCATGTATTATTAATATTTTTTGTTTCAGCACATTAATTCATAATTCAAGTCATTTATTTATGTTAACTTTTTGTATTTTTGTCATTTGCAATCTTCCATATAAAAATACCAGTACCTAACTAACCAGCTTTTCCTCCATATGCGATTTGAAACCCATATCTTTGTCATCTTTCTGCCGTTACCGTGTGCCGAACAGTCTCATTCACTGCTGTGTAAACATGTATGTGACGCTTTAAAAGCACGCGTTGAGCTTTTATCTTTCCACATGATCACGTCGTAGTAAAAATCTCACCTGTTTCTTCTGTAATATGTGTCAATAAAACTGTGTGAGTAGAGCATACACACTTCCTCTATTTACACTACATCTGTCTGTCAAGGCTGCTTTCCAGTATGGGGCACATTAGGGTGGCAGTTGTTTTTGTCATCTGTGGAGCACTCAGTAAGTGCATCATGTGAGAAAACAAGCATGTCGCTTCTAGCCTGTCCTAGAAAACAGGAAGTCCAACAAATGTTTGTGTTACAAAGGCAGATCTGAAGTGCTGAGGTCTCGGCTGAGAAATTAGATGTCTGGGGGAGAGGTGGACTCACTTGCAGCTGCTGCTGAATTATTTTCATGTTGTGTCGTTGCAGAAAGTTCTGCTCCTGCGAGCGCACCCTCTCCAGCTGGGTCAGCAGGTTGGTGAAGAGCACGCCAGCCATCGACTCGTCGTTCACCGCGGTGTCCCTAAAAGTATACAGAGTGACACATTCAGGAGATTCAGAGCAACAAAAGCTGTGAAGAACAAAGAAGTTGCTTTACCACCTACCACAGGCCTTCAAGCTGGCAGTAGTTAAACCGTTACTTAAAAAGCCATCTTAGCTAATTAGCTAATTAGCTAATTATAGGCCAATCGCCTACCTTCCTTTTATCTCTAAAATTCTTGAAAGAGTAGTTGACAAACAGCTAATAGATCATCTGCAGAGGAATGGTTTATTTGAAGAGTTTCAGTCAGGTTTCAGAGTTCATCACAGCACAGAAACGACTTTAGTGAAAGTTACAAATGATCTTCTTATGGCCTCTGAGAGTGGACTCATCTCTGTGCTAGTCTTGGATGACCTGGAGAGCACTCTCAGACCTGGATGACCTCTAATTTTGAGCTTTTTTTTTTTAAAACATTTTCACAATATCTCTAAAATTAGAAATATCCTGTCTCAGAGTTTTGCTGAAAAACTAGTTCATTATTTTTTTTACTAGATCATACATTTAATCGAGGGTGGACTACTGTAAAAACTCCCTGAAAGTTCAGTTAATCCAAAATGCTGCAGCAAGAGTACTGACTAGAAAGAGAGAGCATATTCCTCTTATGTTGGCTTCCCTTTATTGGCTCCCTGTTAAATCCAGAATCAAATCTAAAAATCTACTGCTACATACAAGGTCTTGAATAATCAGGCCCCATCTTATCTTAATGACCTTAGAGTACCGTATCACTCCATGAGAGCCCTTCGCTCTTAGACTGCAGTCAGACCAGTTGCAGATGGCTGCCCCTCCCTGTGCCTGGTTTTGCCAGAGTTTTCCTCCTCTTAAAAGGGAGTTTTTCCTTTCCACTGTTGCCAAAGCGCTTGCTCACAGAAGTGAGCAAGTTGTTGGTGTTTACTCTGCACTATTGTAGGGTCTTTACCTTACAATATAAAGTGCCATCGGGGAACTGCTGTTGTGATTTGTTACTATATAAATAAAACTGAATTGAATAGTTCCTTGCTCAAGAGTCAAAAAATAGTGGTACTTTTGTCCATCCATCCATTTTCTTCCAATAAAGGGTTGGAAGACAATAGATAGGCTGCGCTCACCTGCAACCACCATGGACAGGTGCCAGTCTGTCATAGGGCTAACACAGAGAGACAGACAGCCTTTTACACCTATGGGAAATCTAGAATCACCTGTTAACTTGCCATAAAAAAACGAAAACTGCAGTTCCTTGAATGATCACTGAAGTCAGACTTCAAGAGTAAGTTTGTCTCCTTTGTTTTTCTCTTCTCATGCTGATAATGATGCCGCCACAGCTCTGTACCCTTCATTCCAGTACTTAGGGTGCAAATTCCCCCTGCAGTATTCCCGTGAGCAATAGATGTCGCAATTGAGACAAAACTTCCACATTCGCACTGGTATTGTCTCTTCAACCCAGCAGTAGCACAATGGACCATTTTAAAGAAATCGACAGCTGCAGGACCGGCTGACACAACACCAACATGGCTTGCTACAGCAGATGTGACATCACTTAGGCGTACAGCGCCGTTCGCAAGGGGATGAATGGCGAACATAACAGGATCCTTCTACTCCCAAGTTAAAAATCATAGACTGTATTTAAAAGATAAATGTAGCTACCATTACATAACCTATTTATTTCTGATATATGCATTTCTAGACTGAACTTAAACAATAATCTTTGAGGAGAAAAAGGTCTTTTAAGTTTTGAAAACAACAAGAAACAAGTAACTTTTCTTTGTATAAGAAAAAAAATAAGAAAACTATGAAAAATTATGTCTTCAATACATTTCTTGGACTTTTTAAATTGTATTTCTTGTGGAATAAAACTCAAAGGTTTGTAGCCTTATGTACATGTTATTTAGTGAAGGAATGGAAGAGCCTTCAGGCAGGTTCTCTCAGATCTGCCCAGCACCGTTGAAAAATGTACTTTAACTCAGACCACAATCATTCCTAAATCCTGCTGAAACCAAAAACTAAAAGCATCCATTTACTCTCCTTTTAGCTAAAAGCAAACACTCTGTGGGTGATAAATGATCACTGTTCTCTGACTTTGTTTGCAGCTCGTTGATAAGGAAGAAGGTGCAGCTACAGCGGGTTTTTCACTGAAAAGAGCTTCCTGTAGGAAATGAGGTCTATGACGTGAAGTTGTGGGCTGTAAAACCAAGAAGTCATGGTTTTGATCAATCAGCTTCAACTGAACAAAAGTATAAACTCAGCGATTTGAACTCAGCTTTGTCAACATGTTTTTGATGCACAGGTGATCGTTTATGTTTGCACAAACTTTCACTGAGCTTCAGAAGACGTCTGGATCAAAACCTCCTGCTTTTCTGGATTTAAATTTAAAAAGCCTAGACCCATTAAAAAATAGATATCTATACACTTAAAATATTTGATAGACAATATTTCTGTCTTATTTTGCTTCAGAACTATTACATAGGATTATTTCCTTGAATTATTGCCTCTTCTATTTATTCATCCATTTTAATTTCAAGTTACTCATTTCTAAATTATTATTTTTTCATCATTTTGCCTTGCCAATTTTCCTCAAGTATTTTTCTTAAAGAATATTTATTTAGACATTTATGCTTTATTAAACAAATATAAACGGCTGACATTGTGAGTGTTTATGGAGTTGATTCTTTGCTTGTTTGCCAGCATATTAACACCAGACTCATATCCTAAATATATTTTCACATACTTATTATTTGGTTATCTTTAGTCTTATGTACAAGGTTATTATAGTCAACTAAAACTAAAATAAAATGAATAAAATAAATACTTGAGTTAACTGAAATAAAAGAAAAATATGCATTTTATTGACTGAAGATGATAACTCCATGTGACAGAGTCGTAGGTTTATTTTGTACTTACATTACATTACAAAAAATAAAACTGATACTAAAACTAAACCATCCCCACCCATAAACTGCTATATTACAATCATTACAAAGAAAGAAGAAAGAAAAGACAGACATATTTGGTAAATAGTAAATAAATAGTTCACAATACTTTGATAAAAAAAAAAGAAAAACATTGATATTACATGTTGTGTACCTAATTGCATAATTATTTATGTACTAAGTCATTAATTTGTGTATTTAGTTAATGTTAATTTTGGCAGCTTCAGTCCTCCATACCATGTGGTCTTTCAGCCTATGAAGACAGCTGCCTTTTTTTGTAATACAGACTTTTTTTCCCACACTTCTTTGCACGTAGATGAAGACTCACCAGTCCTGAGACTCGATCCAGCTGGCCAGCCCCTGCCTGATGTCCATGGGGAAGTTATCGTCATACAGGTAATCCACCTGTTCCAGGAGTCTGATCTCCAGCTGTTGAATCTGCTTCCACTGGCTCATGATGCTGTGCCTTCGGACACCACGCGATGCACACACCCGTTATCACCAAAGAGTGCTCTAAAAACATGAATAACATGTTAAATATTATCTAAAATTACGGATTATTTATTGTATGTAATTATTTGATCGTTTAATGTCGCTTCTCCTCGTGTTTGTTACCTGAGACGTTTCCGCGCTGCCTTCCTGTCAGCTTTCATCTACCATGTGCACTTGTTTCCCTTGCGCTGACTTTCGTTTTTTATATGTGCCTCTCAGATCAGGAAGCGACCTCATTTCCCCTCAGTGGCTGTTCTCAGGTACTCAGAAGGCCCCTCCTCCTCCTCCTCCTGCCAATCACACACTCAGACTGATCCTAAACTTTTAGACAGGTAACAGATGCAACTAGAAAAGTGATACTGTAAGGTTATATCAAGAAACAGACTAAGTTAGAGAAGTAGCTGAAATGAATGCATCATATTTATCTCAGCTGATTACATAAATCTTTAGATAGGTAATTAATGATCAAAAATTACTTTCAGCTAGATCACAAAGTAATGATAAACAGTCTAAATGACCAACCAAACATAATGGATAAACCATAAACTGATGAAATCAGTGACTGTAAACAAACTTTTATATAGTAATTTATGGAAGTTTGTTTGCACCAGTTTTGAGTTATGTATCTTAGAATTTCAAGTTAACAGATTGCAGAAAATATGCATTAATATTAATTTTTAAAAAATGGTGGGAACAAGCATCTATAGGCAATTGTTGAATTACACTAGCTAGATTAAATTATGAGTCAAAGGTCATAAATTATTTTTGATAAAAGTATGACTAGCTGATAAACTGCTTGCTAACAGTTTGCTAACATTAAATCATTATGTTGCTTTTTAAGCTAGCAGTTAAATTGGCATTATGACAAAGTATCAAATTAAATTCAATTACTAGAAATGTTGATAGGTTTTGTTAAAGTTACACCAAGTAGTTAAGCTGTCTAACACTTTTAACTGACAGTTAAAATGGTTAGCTAAACGCAATGGGTGAACCATATACTGTAGCTAACTTTATCTATATTCTTAGGCAACATTTGACATTTAAGATTATTATACCAATAATAAAAGAATTTACAAACCTTTTTTTAAAAAAAAAAAAAAAATCAAACAGTTCAAAACACAATTAATGAGCCATAAAGTGTTGAAATGTGTTTTGATTTTGATTCTGCTGCAAAGGCAACTTTTTAAATACCTTTGTTAGTAGCTAAACTAACAAACTAAGAGTAACACAATCGATTAACACCTGTTATATTAATAGCTGAGACTGTTAACTAAATACAGTACATAAGCCACAGAATGTATATCTTTAAATATATTGCTAATTTAAATCATAAATTAAAATATGTGTACTTTGCTAAAGATACAGTTAGCAGTTGTTCCTGTTAATTTTTCCATATTATGTACTGGGGTATATTTGTCAGGGGCAAAATCTTAGTACATTCTTCTTTTTTTTTTAAATCAATTAACACTTATTTTATTTTCTGTCTTTACCTTAATAAAACATTTATTTTGTCACTCTCTACATTATTGGCTTACATACCATTTATTCACTTTTATTCACTTTTAGTCACTAACAGTTATTTATTCACCTTTCAGTCACTTTAATTTTATTACTGTGTAATTTTAAAACTGTATATTCTGTGTATTTATTATTTCACTCTTATTGCCTGTTCTTATTGTCCTTATCTTCATCGTTATGGTGCCCTGTTGTTTGTTAATTGCCCCTTGGGAATAAATAAAGTCTTCTGATTCTGATTCTGATTTTAATTTTCCAAATTCTTCCCTGATAAATAAAGTACATCTAATCTTACCTTATAACAAAAAAGCTTATGAAACGTAGAATGACTGATTAGGACAGAACTATACAAAAGAAGTGGCACATTTAAATAGAAAAGTTTAATAAAATTCTTGCTGAATAAAAATACCAATGTAATACAATAAAGAGCAAAAAAGCCTCTAACCATTAAATAAACATTTTGTGGTATGAGACTTTCTGCATATGTAACAAAAGGGCAGAGGGTGGGGAACTTTTAAATATAATTAAAACTCCTCATTATTTATTATTTATTCATTTGAAGTCATAAAAGTGTCCCGTGTATCTCTTACTGTAGCCCTCCTATCCAGCAGGGGGCGCGTGTTAAACGGAGTGGTGCCGACCGAGTGAGGAGCAGCGCTCAGAGGTGAGAGTTCACTCCGGTAAAAACATGGTTGAGCACGGGGATATCCGCGTGGTTCACTGCGGCGGCAGTAAAATAAACTTCAGGGATCCTGTGATAACCCACGACTCCAGGTGAGCGAGTGTTTTAACCTTCCGATGTTTCATATTTAGTGGAAAGGTCTCGTGCGGTTCGTGTCGTATGTGTTAGCCTCAGAGCTGAGGCTGTTAGCATTAGCTTGAGAAGCTGCTGGATGTTCCTGCTACTGTTTACAGCATAGTATCAGCAGCTAGTCTCAGCTCCGTGACTCCGTGAGCCACAGAGCAAGACTGAGCTGTGTCCCGGTCCCTACATGTTTGTTTGATGTTTGTTTCCTCATATTTGTATCGCTGCAGGTTCCTTCTGTGCGCCTCCGGAGAGGCTGTGAAGGTGTTCAGCACCTCCACAGAGGAGTGTATCCACGAGCTGCGGGGTCACACCGAGCTGGTGACAGGTGTGCTGCTCAGACCCTCAAACCACTTACAGGTACAGTCACCTCTCCACCTAGAAAAACGACTTTTTTCAAGACGTCTTTATCCAGAAACTCGCTGATATTCATTTAATGTTAGAAAATACAGGAAACAGCAGAATAGCTGCTGCAGCCACTTTTTCTTTATGAGTAACGTGTAAGTATTTATTAAGTTTAGGTCAATCCCCCAGCTCTGATCAAACAAGAATCAGATCTCTTTTTATTTTTTATTTATTTACTTACTCCTCATTACTCACTCTGTTGGTTCAGGCCAGAAAGCAAAGTAAGTAAACTCTTGATTTTCTGTTCCTGAAAGAGCCCTAACTTAAACTCTGAGTCAGTTACCATGCTTGAGTCGTGGCTCAAGCACGTTCATCATAGTTTAAACCCCCTTGTTTTACACAACGGAATACAGCCTCA